CTTAAGCTGCCTACTAACCAAAGTTCCCAGGACAGTGATCATAATCTGTTTTTAAAATGTATGAAAACATGCAAAAACACAATAAATGACAAGAATATAAAACCAGATAAAAGTTTATAAAGAGCCAACATGGTGCTGTGGTTAGAGTGTTAGACCCAGAAGACCAGGGCTCAAATTCTGTCTTGGCCATGTAACCCACTGGGTGACCTTAGACAATGCATAATAATAATAATATTTGTACCCCACCACTCTGTGTAGCAATCGGGGCAGCTTCCAACATAAAAATACAACACAATAAGATCAATCCCAAACCCCAGTCCTCCCACCCCTTAAAAAGTTATTAAACAAACATCAAATTACTGTAAAACAATGCACACTCTCTCAACCTCAGAGGACAGCAATGGCACACATGTTTAAACAAATCTTGCCAAGAAAACCCCATGATAGATTTTCCTTAAGGTTACCATAAGTCAGAAATGACTCAAAGGTGCCCAACAACAAAAAGGATACAAACAGCTGAGATGTAAGAGCATCTGATGCTGAATATGTACAATAATAAAAGCTGTTTCCTTTGTCCTTATCTGGAAAGAATCTGTAAGCTCTGTGATAGAACACATGCCTTGAACAGAAAAGATCCAAGGTTCAGTGTCCTGCATCCTTAGCTAAGGGCCTTTGCAAACTGCTAGAAATAGTGCAAATTGAGTCCACTTTAACTGCCCTGGCTCAGTGCTAGGGAATCATAGGAATTGTATTTTTTTCTGAGACATTGAGCCTTCTCTGTCAGAGAGCTCTGGTGCCACAATAAACAAGTTCCCATGATTCCCTAGCACTGAGTCAGGTCAGTTAAAGTGGACTCAATTTGCACTATTTCTGGCAGTCTGCAAAGGCCCTAAGTCTCTTGACTGGCAGAAAAAAAACCTTTGTCTGAACCCCTGGAGCACTGCTGCCAATTAGATCTGCCAATGCAGGACTCAATATAAGGTAATTTAATAGATCTCTATAAAATGGTTCTTGTTATTTGCTATCAAGTCAACTTCAGCGTATGTCTGTTGGCCCTTCTAGTAGATTTTCTAAGGCGTCTGATCCCTTTTTAAAAAAAACGTATTTATTTCCTACTACTTTATATAGAGAGACCTAGCATGACATAGTGGTTTCAGTGCTGGACTACAACTCTGGAGACCAGAGTTCGATTCCCCACTTGGCCATAAAACCCACTGGGTGACCTTAGGCAAGTCACACTCTCTCAGCCTCAGGTGAAGGCAATGGCAAACCTCCCCTGAACAAAGCTTGCTAAGAAAACCCCATGATAGGGATAGTGCCTTAGGATCACCATAAGTGGACCATGACTTGAAGATATACAGCAGGGGTGGGCAACCTTTTTGAGCCGGGTGCCGGGTTGCTGTCCCTTAGACAATTGAGGGGCCGAAGCACCAAAAATAAATTAAAAAAAAAATAAAAAATAAAAAAATGTAAAAACATTTAAAAATTTTTTAAAAAAATATGCATGCACACTCTCTGCTCCAGAAAAGCCATGGCAACCCCCCTGTGGAGATTTTGCCAAGAAAACCCCAAGAACAAGTAATAACAACAATAATCAATATCATCATGGCAGGGGGCAGCGGTGGCGGCAGGACTGGCCTGAGGCTGATCCAAAGGCCTTGGGGGGCCTCATCCGGCCCCGGGGCCTTAGGTTGCCTACCCCTGAAATACAGCAACAAAAACTTTATATCCTGCTTTTCCTCACAAAAATCCCAGCATCAGTAATAGTACTGGTCAAGATAATTTGCTGCAAAGCAGTTAATCATGTCCTCCTGTTCCCAGAAGCAAGGAGCTAGTGCTCTAAACCAGGCAAGACATTCCACAGAAAATCTTGCTGCATCCCCTGTTTCCCATTATGTAAAACACAATAATAATAAATTAAGCAACTTAATCATTTGCTGCCCTTTCAAACTGTTTGAGGAAGCCACTTCACTCTGCCTAATATGAGGGAGAACACTGGATATCAACAAGAAAATCTTCTTTCCCCCAGCCTCAACTTTAAATGGAGTTACTGGAATGAAAAAAAGGTAGGAGAAGAATGTTTTTGGAGTGAAAGATCTGTAAGTTCACTTATGATATTGAAAGCATATTCTTGGTCTGAGCCATATTTTCAGAGGCACCCTCCCTCCCTCCTTCATAACACACCTGCTCAGATATAAAATGCTCTGGGCCTAGACATAAAATGCTCTCAGCCATAAATGTTTTTACGAGGGTGAAAATGTCTTTGGCTGGAAATCTGTTGGTGACTTATCTTCATGAGTTGACTTATGTCTGCCGCAATTAAATTTGGGCAGTTCTGTAACGTCTGTATCCAGTAAGGAGCTGCTGTCACATTACTATATAGGACGTTATCACACGGGGGAAATCTGCTGGTTAATCCACACA